CCAACCCCTACCAGTCTGTGATTCTGTGATGCGTGGTTATTAAACATGGTCTTCTCTATTCCAGGAGACCCTTCTGTTGCCAAGTCTCAACTGCTGCGGTATGTGCTCAGCACCGCACCCCGTGCCATCCCCACCACCGGCAGAGGCTCCTCTGGCGTTGGCCTGACTGCTGCCGTCACCACAGACCAAGAAACCGGTGAGGAGCGGGATGGTTCTCTGTGGGACCTGTCAGAGGGATGCTTGTGAACACCTGGGAGGGACTCTGCAAGATCCAGGGCTGCTGTTCGTTCTGCAGTGACTCTTGCAGGACTTGCTCCATCCAGAAGACTTGCTCCATCCAGAAGCTTTATGGCAGTGATGGTGTTTCGGGATATTTTCTCCACCTCTGTTAGGTGGTGATCTTCTCTACTCCTCTTCTACTTGGTGTGCCCCATATGAGGGCTAGCAGCAGCCTGGATCTTCTTGTCTTCCTCATGGGCTTGCTTCTCCTAAGTGTCCTGCTTCTTCTGTCGAGTTGGGTAGGAGATGGGCAGCTCTGAAGGGTGCTGCTGCTCTTTGAGGCTTAGCTTAGTCACAGGGATGGTGCTGTGGTGGAGGGGAATGACGGCAGGAGATGTGTGGGGCTGCTGAATGGTGATTGTCCCTCATTTTCTCCCGTCCCAGGTGAACGGCGCCTGGAAGCAGGGGCCATGGTGTTGGCTGACCGGGGTGTGGTGTGCATCGATGAGTTCGACAAGATGTCTGACATCGACCGCACGGCCATCCATGAGGTGATGGAGCAGGGCCGTGTCACCATCGCCAAAGCCGGCATCCACGCCCGCCTTAACTCCCGCTGCAGCGTCCTGGCGGCGGCCAACCCCGTCTACGGCCGGGTGAGTGCCAGCGTTGGCCGGTCTCCTCTGTGGGGAAGGATGCTGGGAGCTGTCTTGGTGGAGGAGGCAGCTGGTGAAACCAAAAGATCCCCCAAAACCAGTGACTTGGTTCTTGCTGGGACTGGGATCCATGGGGCAGTGAAGACCTGGGGGGGTTTGGTGTCTGTTGCTGCTTGTGGCCCTCCTGGAGCAGAGGGGGGTTCGTGGGGTTTCTCACCACGGCTCGGTTCTGCCTGGATGTCTCGGGGCAGCCCAGTGGACCCTCATTCTGGTGATGAGCCTCAGTCTTGGTGTCTGATCTGGGATCACAAAAAATCTGAGTTTTCCTTGCAAATGAGAGCTACAGCCACCTTCCAAGATGGGGAAAAAAGGCCTTATTGCTGCAGCAGGCTGGGTTTAGCCTGGTGTCCAGCTGCCTGGACGTCCATCCTTTAAGGCCTGGCCTGAGGAGGTCCTCCCAGCCTCCCTGGCAGCCAAGACTGTCCCATGAAGGTGTCCTGTAACCCCTTATATTGTCCCCTTGCAGTACGACCAGTACAAGACACCCATGGAGAACATCGGCCTGCAGGACTCCTTGCTCTCCCGCTTCGACCTGCTCTTCATTGTGCTGGACCAGATGGACCCCGAGCAGGACAGGGAGATCTCAGACCACGTCCTACGGATGCACCGCTACCGCAACCCCAACGAGCAGGACGGGGATGGTGAGTCACTTGTAACTGCAACCTCTTTGTTTCTCAGTCCTGTCCTTCCTCGGTGGGTTCTCACCCTTTGGTGGCAGCTCTTTGGGTTCAGCATCCCTGGCTTTGTTGAAGACTGCTTTTGGTGGCTTTTGGAAGTTGCTCCAGAGACTAAAAGCCCATTCTCTGTGACCCTCCCCTCTCCAGCCATGCCCCTGGGCAGTGCCGTGGAGATCCTGGCTACGGAGGATCCTGACTTTGTGCAGGAGGAGGAACAGGAGCTCCAAGTGTACGAGAAACACGATGACCTCCTGCACGGGCCCAACCGCCGCAAGTGAGTCCTTCATCCCACGTCCCATGGAGCTCTCTGGGGGTTTCCAGCACTGGGAGTTGATGGGTTTGGCTTGATTGATCTGTGGCTGATTGCTGGTGGCAGTGAAGCTCCAGACTGTCCATGGGGAGGTACGTGGACAGGGTGCCAGGGTAGCCCTGCTCTCTCATGCCAGGTAGGTGGGGAACATCTCCTGGCGCTGAATTCCCCACATGCCTGAGATGCTCACAAAGGCTTAAAAAGTGGGAAACCAACTTCTGCAAACACCCTTTGGCCGTCCCCACCTTGGAGGACACGGGTGTGCATGCGTTCCCCGCAGGGAGAAGATCGTCAGCATGGAGTTCATGAGGAAGTACATCCATGTAGCAAAGATGATTAAGCCCGTATTGACCCAGGAGTCGGCGAGCTACATAGCGGAGGAGTACTCCCGCCTGCGCAGCCAGAGCCAGATGAACTCGGACATTGCCAGGGTGAGCCCTGGGAGCAGCTCCCTCTCAGGCCAGGAGGAGGGAAACTGAGGCACAGGCTCCCCTCTCCCCTTATGGGTGTTTTCCACCCTGGATGTGACACCTCCCGTTGAGGTGGGATGTTGCAGTGGGGGTCAGCCTCACCGTGACATCTCTCTCTGTCACTCCCAGACTTCCCCCGTCACGGCCCGTACCCTGGAGACCTTGATCCGCCTCTCCACGGCCCATGCCAAGGCCAGGATGAACAAGACTGTTGATCTGCAGGATGCTGAGGCAGCTTTGGAGCTGGTGCAGTTCGCCTACTTCAAAAAGGTGGGGGGGAAGGTGTCTTGGCACTCAGGAGGTCCTAATATTGACATCAAAAGGGGTGGATTTGTGCAGGTTGAGCACCCTGCGCTGCAGGTGGGATCCTCTACTGCTGATGGCATGGGGTAGTGGTGGGATCTTGGGTCCCTCAGGGTTGTCCCCTGAAAAGCAGCTTGAGTGGAAAAGGGGGCTGAGTCCATCCTGCCTTTGCCTCATAGGTGCTGGAGAAGGAGAAGAAACGCAGAAAGCAAGCGGATGATGACTCGGAGACCGAGAAGGAAGAGGATGAGGAATCGCAGCCCAAGGAGGAGCGCAAGACGAGGAGGTAGGAGCCAGAGCAAGGGACACCAGCCTCTTCTGAGGTTGTGGCAGGCAGTGGTGGTCCTGGGGAAATACTCCATGTTTTGCTCTACCTAGTGGATCATCCCCCCCAATTTGTAATATGGGGACACCCTTACTTGATGGATAAAGAACTGGCTGGATGGCCACGTCCAAAGCGTTGCAGTCAATGGCTCCATGTCCAAATGGAGATCAGGAACGAGTGGTGTCCCTCAGGGATCTCTGCTAGGACCAATGCTATTTAATATCTTCATCAATGACATAAACAGTGGGATTGTGTGCACCCTCAGCAAGTTTGCAGATGACACCAAGCTGAGTGGTGCGGTTGAGATGCTTTAGGGGAAGGGGTGTTGTCCAGAGTGACCTTGACAAGTTTGAGGAGCAGGCCCATGTGAACCTCGTGAAGTTCAACAAGGCCAAGTGCAAAGTCCTGCACATGGGTTGGGGCAGTCCCCACTATCAGCACAGGCTAAGGAATGAATGGATTGAGAGCAGCCCAGTGGAGGATTTGGGGATACTGGTGGATGAAAAACTGGGTGTGAGTGGCAACGTGCGCTTGTGGCCCAGAAAGCCAACCGTATCCTGGGCTGCATCACCAGCAGCGTGACCAGCAGGTCGAGGGATTCTCCCCCTCTACTCTGCTCTGGTGAGACCCCACCTGGAGGGTAGACTTAGATTGGACATAAAGAAAAAAATTTTTTATGATGAGGGTGCTGAGGCCCTGGCCCAGGGTGCCCAGAGAAGCTGTGGCTGCCCCTGGCTCCCTGGCAGTGTTCAAGGCCAGGTTGGATGGGGCTTTGGGCAACCTGGGCTAGTGGAGGGTGTCCCTGCTCATGGCAGGGGGGTTGGAACTAGATGATCTAATCCAAACCCTTGGGTGATCCTATGACAGTCCACAACCCTTGAGGCTGGTGCTGGCTTGGGTCCCGTGCCATGAACAGGGTGTGTTGCAGGAGGTGGCTCACCTGTGAGCTGCAGGTACCCTGCATGGTCTTAGCCAGATGTCTGAAGCATCCTGGGGTTTGGGGGGCTGGTTCTGAGGTCTGCAGTTCAGCTGGAGCAGGGGTGACCTCTTCTTCCCCCGCCTAGGAGAAAGAAGGCACGCACAGGAGGCGAGGGGGACTCCTACGACCCCTACGACTTCAGTGACGCCGAGGAGGAGATGCCGGAGGGTGAGTCCTTGGAGTTTTGCTGGCACCTGGCTCCTGAGGGTGCTGCTGCCTTCTGCCCTGGTGGGTCTGTGCACCTGGGGAGCAGCGATGCCTTGGGGTCCCTGGTGTGGTACCATCCAGCCCAACAAATTAGATGAATTTTTTGCTATTGTTTTTGGAAGCCCTCCGTGGCCGTGCAGGACAGGAGAGTTAGTATTGCTGATTATTTTTTTTGCTGTCTGTCCTCTTCCAAACTGCTGCGGAACTAACAACGTTGGGAGGGAATTTGGTGTTGCCCGCCCTATCCTGAAGCCAAGTGCTTTTGCTCTCTGGGTGCCTGGACACCAGGCAGGTTGGAGGTAACTCCTTCTTTCTGCTCCAGTCCAGGCACACACTCCCAAGACGCCCGAAGCCTCGGCCACTGGCGAAGCGAAGAAGCCGGAGTTGACTGAGCCGAGGTGAGTGGGGGCTGGAGGAGGCATCTGTCCCTGCATGTCTCACCCCACTCTGGTGGGTCCAAGCTGTTGTCTGATGCTGGAGATGCATCTGTGGTTGGTGTGCCCAGCTCCAGTTTCGGCGTTCCTGCTGGATGCCACTTCTGGAATGGGGAAGGGCTGAGGCATCCTGGGCTGGGAAGGAAGGGCAAGGACTTGCATGTGATCTCTGAGGGGGATTACTTCTCGCCTTGCCTGAACAGGTTGAAAGCATTCAAGACTGCCCTCCTGGAGGTCTTCAAAACTTCCCATGCCCAGTCTGTGGGTCTGAAGAACGTGATGGAGTCCATCAACCGTGACAACCCTGAGCCCTTCTCGTTGGCGGAAGTGAAGGTGGCACTGGCCCACATGCAAGATGACAACCAGATCATGGTGTCCGATGACATTATCTTCTTAATCTGAGCCTCTGGGTGGAAGAGCCCAAGTTCTCATGGACTCTCAGTCTGGAGACTCTTTGTGTTTGCCTTCAACTCTCTCCTGAACACTTCATCTGGCTGAGTTGAACTTGGGGGAACTCAAGTCCGTGCACTTTACAGTCCTTCCTCGCTGTGCGTTGCTGGCACCAAAAAAAGCCGGGAGCTCTGAAAGCTCTTACTGTTGCAGTCTTCAAACTGGAGTATTCAGGAAGAAGTTTGTTTTCTGCAAGGAGCCGAAAGGAAAAACTTAATGTGCAAATTATCAGTGTTCTTAATGTATTGGTTTTAGTTTTTGGTGGTAGTAGTTCCAGCCTTTGAATAAAAAAATCTGGATTTAGGAATCCAACATTCAATAGCAGTGGTGGTAAGAAGCAACAGGAGAGCTCCACTATTAGTAGTAAAGCTTTTATTTTTCCTCCTTTTTCCCCAATTACGTAGCCTAGATCTGCTTGTCTCCACATGTAAAGATGTCTAACGCCTGTCCTGTTGGCTGTGAACAGCCTCTTCCCCCACTGGTTTCCTACCCCTTTGAAGTACAGTCTGACCTGCTCCATTGCCCGTGGGTCAACTCGATTTCTCCATTTCAAAGCCCTGCTGGGAGTTTTGACCCCAAGGACATGGGAAGGGCTGGGATGCTCATAGTTGTCCAGGGAACAAGTCCTTGGCACGTGGGGCTTTGGTCTCCAGCTGCTCCTGACTTCTCCAGTCTGGGACTGCGCTTGTAGGAGTATAATGGGACCACCACAAATAGGAGGAAACCTGTAGCAAAGATAGGTCAAAGCTACGGGGACCTGGGATCCTGCATGCCCTGTACGTCCTGCCATCGCTGCAAATCTCCCTGCATCCTCTGGAAGGTAACCACAAGCTACTGAGATCATAAAAACCTTCCCTTGCCCTTGGGGGATTTGTTGAATTGTCTTGCTTTCTGGGAACACGTAGGTGACCACTTCTTGGAGAAAGGCTGGTCCTAGAAACCAGCAAGCTCCCATGGTTTGGGGTGGTTTTCAAGAAAAGCTGAACATGCAGTCAGACCAGTCTTGGCTACTTATGATGCTGAAGGTTTGGGATTTTTTTAAATTGGGTTTGGTTTTGGGTTTTTTTTTGGTCTTAGACAATTTTGAGGTTAATCTTTGGAGAAGACCCTGATCAGCACAGGCTGTTTGCTGTTGTCCATGCCCACCTGTGGGCACCTGCACGGTCCCCATACCCTTGTTTCTGAATGCCATAGATATTGATTTGAATAATAAAAATGTCTAGATACTGTTTCTCCCATGACTTGCTGCTTACTTGGATTTAAACTGTTCCCACTTCTGGGGATGCAGCTCTGCAGTCTCCTGGGAACCTGCTGCCGTGGAAAGCCTGCAGGCAGCTGCCTGCCCCTTTGGGCTCAAGGACCGTGTCGGGCACGTCCTTCCACCGCGGTGCCTTGGCCTCGGTGGACCAGGCACTTGCAGAAATGCCCTTGCTGTGGGTGGGTAATGAATGTGGGCAGCTCCTGCCTCTCCCACCACAGCTATATGTCTTCTGCCCACCTGGAGCTACTCATCCTGGTGGGTCAGAGGACGTGGTAGCATCTCATTGCACATTGCCCCGTTTTTCTTCTGCAAACAGACCTGTTAAATTATAAAAGCCTGGTTTCTGAGCTGCCCTCATCCAATGCAGCTGTGGCAGCAGATTTTCAGGTTTGGAGGGGATTGTTGCATGTTTGCAGCCTCCTGAAGATCTCGGGTTGGATGTATCGCACGTCTGCGGAGTGACCTTGGACCTGCGGCCAGTTTCTGGCTTGTAAAACTGCAAAGATTGGTGAGGGTGAGTTAAACACATGCATGCTCAGAGTTGTTCTGTCTCAGTGGTTTCATTACTTAGCTCCAGCCCTGAGCTTTGTGGGGCTGGGTGGGAAGCTGAGCCAGAACGTTCTCCTGCATGGCCACCACCATGGTGGCTCCAAAGTCCCCGGGCAGGAGCCAAGGGCCAAACATACCCAGGTACCTTTTGCAAGGTGTAGGTGGTGTTTTCTTATCAAATTGTTTGTAGGCAAAGGAACCAACTTTCCTTCTGGAAAGGTGCCTGGGTGCTTATAAAAAGTTCCCCAGTAACTTCTGCTGCTCCGACATTGCCTTGTAGGAGCAGGGATATTGCATCTCCTGACTTTTGGAGGATGTTCCTCTTTGCAGGTCACAGCAGGGAGCAGCGAGGGCTTTTGGCCAGAGCTGCTTGTTGGAGCCATCTCCTATTCTCCTGCTGAGGCCTTTGTGTTTCCCGGGTCCTTTCAGCTGGAGAACCGCTTATGTTGTATTTCCCATGACAAGGCACCAGGAGGAGCTCCAGGGTAAGTAAATCTCTGGTTTATTTTGCTATTCTGTAGGATGGTAGGATGTAGCTAACTACTTCCTCCTCGTGCTGGTGGCCACCTTGGAATATCCTTAGCAATTGCTCAGGCCCTTGGGCGAGGTGTCTGCTGAGAAGGGAAAAACAAATCCCTGGTCCTTGGAGAGAAGCTGACTCGGCTGGTGGGTCTGTGGAAGGTCCATAGCTTGTGGGATGGTTGGTATGGGGACTGTGGGTGGTGAGCAGAGCAGCTGGCTGACAGCCACCAGGTCCTCCAGCACCCCTGCTCCTGAGCACAAGTGCAAATCCCTGTTGTACGAGGGGCAGGGACGGGTGTGGGCAAAAAGAGCTGGTAACTTGGTAGCTTGGGAAATGGAATGCAGCATATAGGTGTTTGCGAGGATGTATAGGCAGAAGCACCACAAAGACTGGGAATGCCCAGGAAGACAACTTCATTTAGCCGCTCTTTGGCCCACGTGGGCCATGTTCAGACCAAGGAAACGTACCCCTGAATGCTCCCCATAGGGCTCTGCTTCGAATAGACGAGTGTGTGGCTTCCTCGTCCCTGCCAAAGGGCTTCAGGTAAGAGGTGCCACGTGGGACTGGTGGGAGAGCGGTGGAAAGGAGTGGGACACAAAGGAGCGGCAACAGCTTGCTGTCAACGTTAAGAAAATTATTTTGGCAATGAGAGGTCAACTAACGCTACAGATGGAAGATCTGGACCTACCAATCCCAAAGGCAGAGAGGTTTGCGGGGATCAGGTGGATCTGACCAGCAGCCTGAATCTGCGCTGTTACCGGAGAGGTCATCGAGTTCTTGGACGCTCAGCCACATGGACACTGAAGCTATCACTGCTCCAATAAAAGAGTGACAGGGCACAGACTTGGGCACTGCACCGGGCCTAGTTATATTTTTTGATTGGTCCTTAACACAGTTTTGATGGACTTAACTAGCCCTCTCCCCAATAACTTTTGGCCATGATCGAGGAGGGTGCATGGGCCAAGAAGCAGGTGTGATATAACCACCTTGTTTTGGAGGCTGGGAGCTTTTAATTCTAGCAACATGGCCAGAGTGTGCCGATTAGTTTCAGTTCTAGCAAACAGTCTCTGCCACTGTTCAATTTGCTAATATTTGCTAATATTGATATAATATTATTTGCTATTATATTTCATTTCCAGGCTTTTTTCTTGCTGATGGAAAAGAGCTGATTGAAAATTCCGGAGTGAATGAAAATTATGATGGAGTTTGTGGTACTTACAAAGAAAAGGAAGGAGACTATAGAATAAAGATTGTATTTTTCAAGAAACCCGCTTGAGTAATGTTAGGGTCTTGATAGGGAAGATTCCATGGGAAGGCAGCCTGGAAAAGAATTTCTATATCTTGAAGAAATAATATTAAATGCAAACTGGGTGAAACAAATTTTGGATTCCTTTAGGTCGTGATTCATCCGATATAGATGGGACTAAATCTGAGCATCTGCAGGAGTTCAGATTAATTAGGATTAAGATTAATAAAGATTAACTGTGGTCTAAATGTGCCTGTTGCTCTCTGCTGAATCTAAAGCAAGCCTAAATTTCCAAGCTCAGCTCCAGGTGTCTTGCTTTTAGATGACAGATCAGTTGAACTGAACCAGCATATTGGATTAATTCTGGGAAATCTTGGAGGATGGATGCAGAAAACAAGAAAAAGATTAAAAAAAAAAAAAAAAGGGGGAGAAAGAAAAGGAGAAAACAGGAAAAGACATAGTTCCTAGAAAGCTTAAGGGACAGATAGTCAAGCAGAAATTGTACGCAGCAAAGCAATAGCAAAACTACAAAGTAAATCATGCCAAGCCAAACTATTGCTGTTCCTTAACAGGTAATGGGATTTGTGGTTAGGACATGAACTGTAGGTGTGTTTTATCTTGATGTTATTAAGCCTACATGCCTAAGTTGCACATAACTCTCTCATAAGCATGCTAAAAAAGTGGTCTAGAAATGAAATTATGAAGTCGGGGGTGAATATTTGCTTGGAAAAGACCTACTGAAAGAGTCGTTGTGGTATGGGGAGGATAAACAGCGCAGGATTCCCACAGGGGTTTGTCCTCGGTCCAGCAGTGGTCACCCCTTTGATTAGCAGGCTGGGTAAGGGAACAGAGTATCTTCCTACTAATGTTGGCAGGTGATGGTCGACTGAGGAGGGCCATGAGCATTCAAAAGACAAATTTGGAATTGAGGAAATAATATGAAATAAAGAATATCCAGTTCAATCAAGATGTGTATAAACCTTTGAACTCAAGTAGGGGAATCATCTGCCTTGGTCAGAGACTGGAGACTGATGGGGAGACAATAGTCCTTTAGGAAGAGACTTGTCACTGAGCAAGTAGATCACAAGCTAAACACGAGCCGGTAAATGTCATGTTGGTGTCCAGATCCCAGAATATTGGGATGTATACCATGTTGTACAGTCTGAAAGACATGGTGATTTCAAAGAAGAAATAAGCTTTTTTTCTTGGCCACAGAAGAGAATAATGAGTTTATTTATAACATGCAGATCTTCAGGAATAGGTTAGGCAATCACTGATCAGTCATGATTCAAGTAGAGGTGCTGCTACATTGGGGCTGAGCAAGAGGCCACAGATGCACTAAGCTCCTTTTCAAGATCCCTTCCAGCCTAATT